ATTATTTTTGAGAACATCCAGCCACCTTGGAATATGCTATGTATAGTAAAGGCTTTATTCTGCTTTCTACTTGTATTCCAGCTTGATTGTCACTGTAGCAACCTCTTGTGTCAATATGATCTCATAATATTTTAAAGATTTTTCTATATGTATAAATGTTTTGTCAGTATGTATGTGTGTGCACCATGTATATGCCGAGTGCTCTGAGAGGTCCTAAGAGGGTGTTGAATACTGTGCAGCTGGAGCCAAGGGTGTTTGTGAACCACTGTGTGGTTGCTGGGTCCTGACCTGGGTCCTCTCAACCACTGGGCCATCTCTCCAGCATCACAATATGAGAATTTTTGTTGTTGTTTTTGGTTTCTTGAGACAGGGTTTCTCTGTATTGTTTTGGAGGCTGTCCTGGAATTACCCCTGTAGACCAGGTTGGCTTCAAACTCAGAGATCCGCCTGCCTCTACCTCCCAAGGACTGGGATCAAAGGCGTGCACCACCAACGCTCGGCTCAGAATTTTAAATATGTAGCCTACTCCTTTGTAAGTTGTTATTCTTTTTTTCCCCTTTGATGCAGGGTCTCAATATTTAGCCCTAAGTACCCTGGAACTCATATTTAAACCACATGGTTTAGAACATGTGGAGACCCCCATACCTCAGCTTCCACAATGCTGGGACAGATGAGCACCACCACACCTGGCTGTTACTGTCCCCCATCTTTGGTAGCAGGAGCCTCATTAAGTCAGTTCTGCTGTGACCTAGTTCCTACCCCCTGGCTGCCCTGTTTTGGTAAGACTAGACACCATAGGCCTATGCTTGTGCTGTACCTCTTCCCCCCCTAGCTCTGAAATCAGCTGTTTTTCTATGGAGTACTGGTTCCTTTAGGAAGAACAGTTTTATTTTAGCTTAGTGTGGTCAGGTTAGTCCCTAATTATAGTTTTCCTTTAAAAAGGAAAGAAGAGAAACCACATCATGTTGTAATTTTGTATTCTCAGGAAAGCCTGTCCCGTGGAACTCTTAACTCATGGATCTCCCCCAATTCTATATACTTACTGTGTTTTTACTGTCTCATGGATCCAGATTCAATATAAGTTATTTTTTTTCATCCTCCAAGTTAGTATTCCACCTTTCACTTTGTTTCTTTTGCCAAATTATTTTGTTTTACTTGGTTCCACCAAAAATGACTTTATGTTGTTTCTCACCTTGTGACTTCTAATCAGAAGAATTGAACAGGTTTGTGTCAAAGAAATGAGACCCTGTATTCTTATGCTGTAGTAAGAGGGGGCAGGCACTTGGGAGAGAATCCTAAGATGACTGAAATGAAATAATACATCTTACTGTGTATTATAAGCCTAACCGAAGACCCTCGCCACAGGACAATGCCTCTATGCTGAATGTCCTAGTTCATATGCTTGTAAGTAACCACTGTTGGGATTTTGAAGCCATTGTATTCCACATCTTAGTTTTATTTGTTTTCATTTTCCTTTGGGTCTCCAATTTCTGGTAGCCTTGTTTACCAGACTGAGTCATTTGTGGCTTTCTTTGTCCCCATCACTGGCTCACCCTCTTAGATGATTTGGGGAGGTGGGGAAGAGGGGGTGGACCTTGCACACTATTGTAAAACACGAGAATGGATTTAGTACTCAGTGACAGATTAATGTATGTAAATGTGTGTAGACAATACACAATAAATCGTCTACAGTACTGGAGAGTGAACCTAGAATATTGTCCCTGCTAGGCAAGTGCTCTACCACTGAGCTGGTTTCTCAACTCTGTTTATCCTTTTTTTTTTTAAATCTTGTGATAGGAGTTTCTTGATAAATTGTTTGGGGTGGCCTTAAACTCATTCTATAGTCCAGACAGCTGAAATTTACAGTCCTCCAGCTTTTGTCTCCATCAGACTAGCTGAGTTCATAGCTCTGTGCCACCCGACCCTGATAAATATATCAGTGCTTTGTGTGGATTCACCCCTCCACCTGTCTTTTTTGTAGTCCCCTCCGAGGCCCGGAACCTTTGCTCGATAATTAGGCTGTCCAGGGAAGTTTTAGGAGGTGATACCTTCCACATACTAACCGACAGATAGGAGCATTGCCAAGAAAGCAGGGCGGGAGCTGCGAGGTGAGGGGCGTGGCCAGGCTGGGGAGATTGGCACCCGGCGGCTGCTGCCTGCCAAAGTCCTGGGGCGCCAGTTCCCTTGCGCGTCACTTCAGCTCTGCGCGGTCTCTGTCTCTTTCCTGCCAGCTCCAGCTAAGAGGTGTCGGGGTCTGTCTCCGCGTCTGCGGTTTCCGACTCGGCTTCTCTGTCTCCATCGCCCCAGCCCTTCTGCAGGCCTTCCTCCGAGACCCCAGGGAGAGCCCAGAGAGACGCTGGAGCCGGTGAGCTGGGGTGGGGGTCACCCCGAATACAGCCCGGGACTGTGGGGATCTGTGTCAGGAAGGAATACTGAGTCAGCCTGAATCAGCTGGGACCTCAGGCGGGGAGTGTTCTGGGCCGTTCTATTTTTGATTTCTTCAATCTGAAGCCAAACTTAAACTGTAGTTTAGTGGAAGCGGGAACCGAGCCTAGGGAAAGCCTTCCTACTTCAGAGAAGTTGTGGGCGGCCACAGAGTTCCCGAGGTGGGAGCTGAGACTAGGTTTCCAACAGAGTGGCCTCACCTAAGTTTTCCTCCTCAAACAAGACTTCAGAAGTCATGCCACACTGTACCCTCTCTCCCCGAGAAAGAGCAGAGAGGATGTTGTTGGAAGGCGAGAGTATGGGACAGCAATTAATACTTAGAATTCTCTGTTAAAGCAAACAATTCCAAAGCAGACCTGTACATGATTCTTCTCAGTCCCCAGTTCTCAGCACATAGTTTGGGTGAATCGTTTAGGTGTCAGTGCCAGGCCACTGTGTTACCACTGTCATCAATATTATTAGTGTACTCATAATTAATGAACATTAGTGATCATTTAATTGTTGAGGTGATGGCAGAACCAAAAGTGAATTGTGAAAAGGTCAACATTCATAATAATTAAAGAGTGCCTTAAAGTTTATAAAGCATCCTTCCATTGTTCTCATAAGTACACAGTATTCACCTTTATCAAATGAGAGCCAACCACAGCTGGGGCATGAGAATCACAAGTTCAAGACCAGCTCAAGTGCTAAGAGGAATTGATAGGCTAATGCAAGCGCTTAAGGATGTGACTTTGTACTGGGAAAGGCACCATTTATGTGATTTTTATTGTGTGAGAACACCATCAGTGTATATGCACGTCTTTACATTACAGACCACAGCGTGACTAGGCTATATGGAATATGATGCCAGCTGACATAGCATGCTATTTTACAGTAGAAGTTTAGTAATTAGCTATGAGTGTAGCAATGAATGTTCGAGGCAGCAATGTAGCTTATTGTCATTTCAAGTTTCATGAACTGTAAACAACTGTGTTATATTTTTATATGACTGGCATCACCACAAACATGTAAGTAATGTCAGGGCTAATACTGATGACTAAGATGTCTCTGGCCAATAGGAATTTTTCAGCACTGTTATAATTTTGTGGGACCTGTAAGATAAAAAAGGCCGAGGAAAAACAACCTGTACCTGACTAGACCTGAGACATCACCCTGACTTGACTCCAGGACCAGGGTTTGAAATCCCACTAATCCCTGAGCTTGCCACAGAGTGAGACTGTAGATTCCCTACAATCCCTAGCCTCCCCCACCCCACAATAAGCCCTATATAAGCTCTGTGTCCTGTTCGGTTTGCTGCTGTTTCTCACCACAGGCAGCCACCCTCCTGGATTTGTTTCCAATGAACCTGTTGAGTAAGGTTTGTTGTGTGGTGTGAGACTTTCTTTCCTCCTAACGAGAAGAGTTACACTCTGGGGACCGAAGCAGAGCTCGAACACTTCTCCAGAGCAGAGCTGTAACAGCTTGGCTGGGGAAACCCTCCCCTGCTGGAACAGAGTCATTACACTTGCATTGGGGAGACCTTTCCCTGGAGCAAGGCGTACAGCTCTTGTGCTTACAGTGACTTGTGGTATTCCTTGGCTCCCGACTGCCAGGATACCTTTGCATCAGAGCGGCATTGCTTACAGGACCCCTTCACATATACAGTCTATTATTACAGTTTATGTAGTGCATGACTACAGTCATATATCAGTTTCAAGATTCAGGAATTATATGCCTTGTTTGGCGTGGCGACACAGACCTGGAATCCTAACACTCAGGAGGCTGAGTCTCGAGGATAGCAGGTTCAAGGCCAGTCTGGGCCTCACAGAAAGCCATTGTTTTAATGTAATGATTTATAACTGAAAAATAGTGATATAGTGACTACCAGGTATTTGTGCGTCTATTGTGCAATAGGTCCTGTAACAGCTACTTAAGGCTTTTTCTTTTTTTGTTTGTTTGTTTGTTTTTGAGATAGGGTTTCTCTGAGTAGCTTAGGAACCTGTCCTGGAACTTGCTCTGTAGACCAGGCTGGTCTTGAACTCACAGAGATCCACCTGCCTCTGCCTCCCAAGTGCTGAGATGAAAGGCATGTGCCACTCTGGTCCCAGCTATTTCATTCTTTTTATGTAGAATTTAATTGATTTTTTTTTGGTATTTACAAGACAGGGTTTCTCTGTATTGTTTTGGAGGCTGTTGGTCCAGCCTGGCCTCAAACTCACAGAGATCCGCCTGCCTCTGCCTCCCGAGTGTTGGGATTAAAGGCGTGTGCCACCACCGCCCAGCGAATTTAATTGATTTTATAGACAAGGATCCCAAAGCAATAGATAAGTGAAATATACGCCCAAGAAACTGTAGCCAAGCCTTTTGTTAAGTGTTGCCATCAGTGTGACTGGGGATAGAGGGGCGCGCATGGAAGGAGAGAGCCTGAATGGGGAGCACAGGTGTGCTCTAACGACATGAGGTCAGGATGGTCCACTAACGACATGAGGTCAGGACGGTCCACACAGTCCTTTGCTTATGCTGGAAGGAAGAGCAGCTTTTCTTCTGACTCCGAGACCCCTTCCCCCTCTCTTCTCACAATAGTGAGCCATCAAAGTTCTCTCAGTTTAGTGATTGATTGAGTCATTCATATGTGTTGGGAGTGTCTCTTGCCTGACTTGAAGGCTGTAGATGGATTGACACAGTGCAACATTACCCGTATCTCATTACCCAGAAAGCTGCCTGAGACTGCTCTAAACTCATCATGCCATTCCCATCAGAAACTCTACAGTGGATCCCGGTAGGCTGGATACCCCAGTCAGGTGATAAAACCTGTCAGGATTTGGCTCTGCTGGGCCCTCTAGTCCTGCTTTACTCATAGGTTTTGCATTCCAGCTAATCACAGTCTCACTAATCTACTGAAAGCTCACATAGCTGTTTCCTGTCACCTACAGGCTTTGCTACCTCCCACTCTGCTTCTTACCCCATCACGTGGCTAACCCGGTCTATACGCTCCATATTCCAGTTCATTTAGTCATGCATTTATTTATTCAGCAAATACTTTTCCGGTGCCAACCACAAACCATTGCTTGGCTCTAGGTGAGAAGATATAGCCATATGTGTAAACAAGGGGTGGGTGCAGTGAAGAAACCGTCGTAAGCTTTTAATACACTTGTCACAGCTGCCAAAGCTGCAGGTCCTCCTGGGCTACAGCACCTGGAACTGAGCTCACACCCCAAGACACACCCCTTGAGAATCTATACCCTTTGTTGGGTGTACCCCTCTTAGGGTGAACTAGGGGTGAAACCTCCTTACTGACACAGATGAGTCACAAGATTGTCCTTTCTCCTGGTCTTCAGGGAAGGGACAGAACTTGCCTTGAGAATTGTTAGTCACAATTTTATTCAACCGGGTTTGGTTTATAGTCATCTGAGTAACCCAGGAGCACTAAACCAAGAAATGAACATGTCTGGAGGGCAAATTTGTTGAATGAGGGTGTGTATTATTTGCTTTGGGCTGCTGAGGCCATGGTGTTCTCTTTACATGGGAAAGTGGACATTGGAGTACATGCACAGCTCACGTGTGCCCTCAGCAATGAATTTGTATGCAGAGCCCCACTGAACTGTTTGCTGTCCTTGCAGACGTCATGGAAGAAGTGTCAGCATGCTCCCTCAACAGCACTCTGTTCCAGCAGGAAGACCAGAAAGGGGTCATCTACCGAATCCCAGCGCTGCTCTACATACCTCCCAGCCACACCTTCCTGGCCTTTGCAGAGAAGCGTTCCACAAGCAATGACGTAGATGCTCTCTACCTGGTGGTCAGGCGAGGGGTGATGAAGGGCCGCTCTGTACAGGTGAGTCATCCTAGTCATCTTCTCTCCTCAGAGCTGAATGCACTTCTGGGTCTGTTCTTGTTCCCCTCACCTTTGCCAGCAAAACTCTGTGTGGGGAGCTGAGGGAAAAGAACAGAAGCTTGTACTGAGTCATTTCCTGACAGGGATCCATTGGATCTTCACAGCCACTCTATCCTAGGCACTGTTGTCAGTCATGTTTAGCACATGGGGGGACTGGGCTCAAAGATTTGTCATTTACTCTAAGTCATGCATCTATAATCCAGCAGCAGAAACATACTTCAGACTCAGGTTCGAGCTCCCGAGGTCTCTGTGGGGCATTCAGACCCTATATGGCCTGCTTTATGTTTCTGTGCCCTGTAGACGATGCAGGGAGGGGAGCACTGACAATTCAGCTTTCCTGAACTTCATCTAATCTGCCTGCTTCTCTGCTTCCCACCACCTGAGCTTCATACTCAAAGTGGGTGCTTTGCTATGTCACAGTGAAGATGTGACTCTGCTGAGCCAGACCTTGCTTTGAATGACACTGGTTCCTGTTTCCTTCTGAGGAGTTTGTATTTTGAAGACTCTGGCCCCTGTGTTTTACTGTATGTCATTAGACCTTCTCTGTAGCTTGCCAGGTCAGACTCCACAGAGGCCCAACCCTGTGACTGACAGAGCACAGAGTGCTATCTAAGTGTTTCATTTGCTCTAGGGCAGGCAGAGATCAAACTCAGGTCATCAGGCTTGGTGCCAAGCACCTTCACTCTGAGCAGTCTCACGGACCCCCATCTTTCTTTCTTTTTCTTTTTTTTTATAAACTTTCATTGGCTGCTGTCATGTGTGCTAGATATTAGGGATACAAATGCATATAATTTGAGTATTGTCCAAAAGGCTCATAGTCTAAAGGGGAGACAGTTACCAAAAATACGCATAGTGTCACACAGCTGCTATACCTTGTTAGAACAGTGGGTTTCAAGAAAGGCTTCCCAAAGGAGGTGACATTGGAGTTGGGTCCTGGAGATGGATTTGGAAGTCCAGATGAAGCAAAGAACGTTCTTGAAAGAGCACAGCTTTTTACAATGTCTAGCATTATCTTTTCTTCAGATTTAAAGCCACCTTGTAATAGCTGCAAATTTTGTGGTTATTTGGGCCTTCAAGATTATGTCCACTTCAATGTCATATATTGTTTGCAAAAAGAACTGATGCTTTTAATGAGCCTATGTTTTCCTACTAGTAACCCACTCCCACGATCTCCTTCTCTTCCCCTTGACTAGTGGGGACCCCTGCAGCCACTGATGGAAGCCACATTGCCTGGGCATCGGACCATGAACCCCTGCCCTGTGTGGGAGCAGAGGACTGGCCGTGTGTTCCTGTTTTTCATCTGTGTTCTGGATCACGTTACTGAACGTCAGCAGATTATGTCAGGCAAGAATGCCACCCGTCTTTGCTTCCTGTGCAGTCAGGATGCTGGGTGCTCGTGGGGTGAAGTGAAGGACTTGACTGAGGAGGTCATCGGCTCAGAGGTGAAGCACTGGGCCACATTTGCTGTGGGCCCAGGCCATGGCATCCAGCTGCAGTCAGGGAGGCTCATCATTCCCGCCTATGCCTACTATTTCTCACGCCGGTTCCTCTGCTTCCCATGTTCAGTAAAGCCCCATTCCCTGATGATCTACAGTGATGACTTAGGAGTCACATGGCACCATGGCAAGCTCATTGGGCCCCAGGTGACAGGGGAGTGCCAAGTGGCAGAAGTGACTGGAAGGACTGGTAACCTTGTGCTCTACTGCAATGCTCGGACACCAAACAGATTCCGAGCAGAATCTTTTAGCACTGATTATGGTGACTGCTTTCAGAAACCAACCCTGAACACTCAACTCTGTGAGCCCCACTCTGGCTGCCAAGGCAGTATAGTGAGCTTCCAGCCCTTGAAGATGGCACACTCTCAAGACCCAAGTGGTAAAGCTGCTCCCACTACTCAGAAGAGCCCTCTGCTGGACAGTTCTCTGGAGCAGGAGAAAGGAATTGGAACACCTTCAGACACATGGCTCTTGTACTCACATCCAACTAGCAAGAAGCGGAGAATTAACCTGGGCATCTACTACAACCGGAACCCCTTGGAGGTGACGGGCTGGTCCCGCCCCTGGATCTTGCACTGTGGGCCCTGTGGCTACTCTGATCTGGCTGTTGTGGAAGAGCAGGGCTTATTTGCATGTTTGTTTGAATGTGGGCAGGAGCATGAGTGTGAGCAGATTGCCTTCCGTCTGTTTTCAGACCAAGAGACTTTGAGCTGTGAAGACTGCACTGGTCCTAGTAGGGACTAAAGCCAAATCAGGACTGGTGGGTGAGGACCAAACTTTCCACAGAAGGAATGGCAACTGCAGCTGGGATAACTCAGGTCACTGATGTCTACAGAAAAATCTAAAAACTAATACTTTGCTTCTTGTATTTTTCACGTTTCCCTTTCCAATGAGCCTAGAAAAAATTGTGCCTTATCTTACACAGCAATAAGGGTGTTGAACTGGGAGTTTGGAGACCGTGGTGTGGTTTTGGCTCTGCTGTTGGCTTGCTTTAGGACGGTGGCCCTGAACTCTGAGCATCAGGTCTCCGTTTGTAAAATGAGAAGGTTGGTTTGTGATTTCTTGCTTTCCCATTAAAAGGAGTGCTTACTTCCTGTCCCACAAACCCTGGATTCTGATCTTGAGTGAAAGCCAGAGACTCACTGCTCACCTGAGTATGAAGTGACATATAGGTGCTTTGGCCAGAAAGATCTGCATTGTTGTTTTTAATAAGGAAAATGTCCTTATCCTTCTAATCATGCCCGGAGCTCTGCATGTTCTCTATCCTGAAGAACTGAGAGCAGAACTGCGAAGTCGCTGCTTTCCCCAGCATTGCTGCTGTGTTCAACCTCCCCTTCCTCCTCCAGACAACATTTCCCAGGGCAGAAAATGAGAGACTCCGGCCAGCAGCCCTTGATAGTGGTGCTTATTGCTTTTGATACCATTACCTCCATTAAAGATGAATCCCAGGACACTGAAAGATGACTCAGTGGTTAAGAGCACCGGCTGCTATTCTAGAGGACCTGGGTTCTGTTCCCAGCACCCACATGGCAACTCACAACTCCAGTTCCAGAGGATCCGATCCCCTCCAATGGCCTCTGTAGGCACTGCATGCACATCACACACACACACACACACACACGCACACACACACACATAAGACACCCATACCCAGTTCTCTCGTCCCTTGTGGCTCTCCATTGTTTACTAAGGGATGGTTACAAGGCAGTCTGGTGTGCAGACCTTCCAGGTTGAGGTAAAAGGAACGAATGCATACAAAGTTTCCTTCACTCTTAGGTGAAGCCCACTCCCTGTCAGGGGAGACCTGTCTCCAGGTGGGAAGTAAAGAGCAGCCAGGGCCCGAGGGTGAACAGGATGGGTGGTAGCGGAGGCAGTTGGGGAAAGGGAGAGGGTGAAAGGAGAATCACCCTCCCGAGAGAAGCACACTGTAGAACCCAGCTTTCCTCACACTATACTAGATTAGGGTAGGCACAGTGGCTAAATTCTGTGGCCAGAGATAAAGGATAAAAAAACAGTATTGGAGTTTATGTGGGAATGTCCAAGAAGGGAGTCAAGGAAGGGGCTTAATCGCTCACCAACCTGAAGGCCGCTTCTCTCATTGCCCTTCCCTACCCTTCCCCTGCTTTGGGTTTGTATCTACTTAGTGACTAGCTACAAATTCCTTAGCTGGGAAATGGCCCGCTGTGCTTATGTCAGAAAAAATAAGAAAAGAGGGTTAGGGAACAGGAGTCCAAGAAGAATCTGGAAAGAGACAGAGTGGGTGACAGCAGCTGGGAAGAGCGAGAACAGCAGACACAAGACCCTGTGCTTCAGGGAGAGATGCGGGGTGAGGTCCTGGCTCGAGGGGTGGTGTAGACGAGGAATCAGGTCAAAGCTGCTGTCCTGAAACTGGCAGGAAGGCAGAGAGACCTACACAAGCCTGTGGCTCAGCCTGTGGAGGAGGTCCAACCCCAATCATTTAGCAGCCTTAGCTTGTTCATTTTCACCTAAGCAACAAAGACAGCTGTGGGTACCCCGGGACCTATCTCATGCTGTGGTAACAATTGCCGGAATCACTTCAGCCGTCTTCAGGTTGGCCCAGTAGGGAAGACAGGACGGGTAGTCATACCAGTCAAGGAAAAGAAAGCAGAAAGGGGGCTGGTAGTCTAGGCATGAAGAGAAGCCCATGCAGGCTCTGATATTTTGCCTTCGGAGCGTCTAAACACCTCTGCCCCTGAGGTCTTTAGAATGGAGCGGTACAGCACAGTAGCCCACCACAAGTTCCAGAGAATGGGCCTCCTGTCCACTCACCTTCTGGCTCTGCTCACGTTCCTTAATAGTCACTGCAGGTTTGTGTTTGGTGCTGCATTTGGACCCCCATCTTCCTCTCCCTCCCTCCCTCTCCCTCCCCCCCCCTCCCTGGTGCATATATACTTATCTTTATGAAAGCTCTCAGAAGTGAGATTGCTGGGTCAAAGGCTAAATACACTTTTTACTTTGAAATTTATATTAGTCAGCTTCACGTTACTGTAACAAATACCTGGTGACAATGGGACCTTCTTGTGCTAAGACAGTTCAGTGAAATTATTTACTTGTGCTAAGACAGTACAGTGAAATTATTTACTTTACTGGGCTGGAGATCAAAGGCATGGCCTTGCCAGGCTTACAGCAGCTCTACCACTAATCTTAATTTCTACTTGATGGTGAAATCTTAAAAAAAATATTTACAATTTATTGACAGCTCTATTCAATGTGTTTTGATCATATTTACCAAACCTCCTATCCACCCAACTTTGTGGGGGTTTTTTATTAATTTTTTTACACTCCAATTCCAGTTTCCCCTCCCTCCTCCCACTCCCTCCACTTCCCCCTCCTCCCATTTGCTCCACGGAGAGGTTAAAGCCTCCTATAGGAAGTCTACTAAATCTGTCCCATCATCTAGTTGAGGCAGGACCAAGGCACCTCTCCACCCCACACCCCTGTTGGACTGTGTCTCTTGGTCATGAATCTCTCCTCAGAGTACCAGAGGATATCATGAAGCCTCAGAGTGAACTTGAGAACCCACAGAGGTCAACCTCTGTCTCATTCCTCAGTGCAGCTCAAGTCACATTCTGAGCCTTCCACTGGTCCTTCCATGGGCTGCCAGGTGATACCTGCTGTGTCCTCTAGACCTCTGCTAGGTGGAGTGGAGGAACTCTTTTCCCTTTTTACCCCCGGACCATGTTACCTTATCTACAATAGGGTTTTCCTATCACATTCTGATTTCCCTGAAAGTAAGAGTTGTCTGATCCCTGTCTTTGTCCTCTGTCCCCAGCAGCAGGAAAGATAGGCTGAATGAATGAATGAATGAATGAAGAGTGAGTCAGAGATTCTTGGCTTTCTTTAGCTGCATCCACCCCTCTCCAGGTCTTCCCACACTCAAACCCTGCTAATAGGTCACCTGAAAGCTGTGTGTGCTAGCCTGGTTCAGGGTCCATTACAATGCTACCCGGAGCTGGGCTTTTATCTAGGTTGAGCCTGGTCTTGCCTTGTGAGATGTCCCAAGCCTAAAGCCAAGCTGTGATGTGTGGGGTTCTCATTTCACTGGTATTTCCCTTTTGTCCCTGATTGGATTTCCCATGGCTGTCACTCCTCCAGGATTCCAAAGGAGACGCTGAACTCATCATGTTCTGAGTGTGTCTTTCTTGGCTTTGTGATGCTGGCATCAGGCTCATCACTGTTCCACAAACATTACCATCCCTTAGAACAGTGGTTCTCAAACTGTGGGTTGGATCTTCTTGGGGTTAAATGATCCTTTCACAGAGGTTGCCCACGATATTTACATTATTATTCATAATGGTAGAAAAATTACAGTTACGAAGTAGCAATGAACATAATTTTCTGGTTGAGGGTCACCATAACACTAGGAACCGTGTTAAAGGATAGCAGCATTGGGAAGGTTAGGAACCACTGACTTAGAACCAATAAAGATGCTAAAAGGTCTTCATTTCAGTGAGTAAAGATCTGAAATGATCATCATCTTAATATCTATTAATAGTTCATTGTCAACATTTTTTTCAAAAAATACTCTTTTGTGTTTTCATACTTTTTGTTGATGTTTTTGGTTTTTTGAAGACAGGGCTTCTCTGTGTAGCAGTCCTGACTTCCTGGAACAGACTTTGTAGACCAGGCTGGCCTTGAACCCACAGAAATCTGCCTGCTTCTGCCTCCCAAGTGCTGGGATTTAACAAAGTGGGGTCCAGAAACCCATTCACATGAGCACATGCTTAACTCACCACCTCAAGGAGAAAAAGGGCCATGGGGTAGACCCGATTGACCAGGGAATCCACAGAAGTGCTTAGCAGTGTGAAAAGCAGAGCGGGGAGGCATCTTTATCCTATCCTTGGTCTCCATTGTCCTCAGTACAAGCAGCAATTGATGCTTGAATGCAATGAGGTGACAAGGAAGGCAAGGAAAGTGGCTGGTCTTAGAGTCCCAGGATTGTAGCATTGTTTCCCTCCCAGGAAGCTGCTTTCAAGACCCAGAGTTGTCCTAAAGATGGATTTTGTTATCAGCAACTGGGAAGAGACTCAGAAATGAGAACACGAGTTCCCTTAAGAGTGAAGCATAGAGGTGGCCAGGCGATGGTGGCGCACGCCTTTAATCCCAGCACTCGGGAGGCAGAGGCAGGCGGATCTCTGTGAGTTCGAGGCCAGGCTGGACCGACAGCCTCCAAAACAATACAGAGAAGCCCTGTCTCGAAAAAAACCAAAAAAAAAAAAAAGAGTGAAACATAGAGGTGGATAGCAGTGAAGGCTGATGCAGTGCCAGCCAAGAAGCCTGAAGGCAGCAGGCAGCTCTCAGAGTCATACCTTGGAGGGAAGTCTTGTTTTGTGCAACACTACCTCTGCCTTTCTCCATTGCTGGGTCAGTCTCTAGAGCTGTGTAAGCCTGGGCCTCTGTATGCAATTTGGATGGCTCTCTTTACATTATTCTGAACTCGCGTGCGCACACACACACACACACACACACAGAACATTATTGCTCCAGCCTAAAGATGAGGACACAGCACTGGGAATTTAGCCACATGAGAATAAAGAAAACGAGCCTCCTCAGACCCTCACGAAGCCTTCACCAGACACCCAAACCGCTGCCACCTGGATCTTGTACTTCTCAGTCTCAAGAACTGTGACCCACAAATTACTGTTGCGCATGAACTTTTCAGTCCAGCGTGCTGTATGAAATCACAGCAGACTGAATGAAGGCAGAGTCTAAGTGGTACTCTCCTGCCTTGTTTGTACACATGAGTCACCCCTGGAGAGTTATTTAAAAACAATTTCACCGGGCGTTGGTGGCGCATGCCTTTAATCCCAGCACTCGGGAGGCAGAGGCAGATGGATCTCTGTGAGTTCGAGGCCAGCCTGGTCTACAGAGTGAGTTCCAGGACAGCCTCCAAAACAATACAGAGAAACCCTGTCTCAAAAAACCAAAAAATAAAATAAAATAAAACAATTCCCAATCCCTCATCGTCCATCACATTTACCTCTGGAGAACAGAATTTAGTAGGTCTGGGATAAATCTCTTCCCTTGAGGCTCCAGACTTAGTTTCTTTGGGGTCAAATAATTGGAAAATTGCTCTTTGGGCTACAGTCTGTGACTGATTTGTAAGCTTCTATGTTGAAAATAAAGGCCATGGAATGTGGTTTATAGACAGGTTGGACTTTGAGGAAAGGACATCAAGTCTCTTAGTCTTCCTTCTGTTCCTCTTAAATAGCATGGGATCAATAACTATTTGGTCAATTAGTGAATGAATGAATGGCCACTCCAATTTTAATCATTTGAAGAACTATAGAGCCCACAAAATTGTGAATTCTAAGGTGGGTCCTAGACAAGGTGAAACATCCCTGCTCTTCTTCACCTTCCTTCCTTCATTTGAGCTGCTGCCTTATAGAACTTAAGACCACCATCCCAGGGGTGGCACCACCCACAATGGACTGTCCT